TTTTAAGCTTAAAAACAATTTGATGTTTTTTGGTTCTACAGGTGAGAGAAGTACAGTCACTGACATCAGGATTATTCTTGTTGGTCAAAAATGCTCAGGAAAAAGTACAGCTGCAAATATGATTCTGTTCAAGAAGTGTTTTAATTTAACCTTTGAAACTGCTTGCCTGAAAAAGGTCAGCCAAACTACTCCTTCATTAAAAGTGTTTCACAAAATTTAGATATCCATGCTGCATGCATCCAGTGCAGAAAGCATTTTAAAGTTGGTATTTTTATTATTATTATTCTGATATTTTTCAGAACTTCTCTGATCAGGAACGGATAACATGTGTGAAACATGAAGGAAACTTTGATGGAGTAAAAGTCTCAGTTGTTGAAACTCCAGGCTGGTTCTCAGACCCAACACCACCTGACTGGATCAAAGATGAAGTTCTCCACAGTGTCTCCATGTGTTCTCCTGGACCTCATGTTTTTCTCCTGCTTGTTCCCATCCTCAGATCTTTCACAGAGAAAGATCTCAAAGCTCTGCTGGAGATCATGAAGCCATTAACAGAGAGAGTGTGGAGACACTGCATGGTGGTTTTTAGCTATGGAGACTGGATCAATGACGTCCCTGTAGAGAATTATATCGTCAGAGAGGGAAAGGAGCTCCAGGAGCTTCTGGAGAAATGTGGGAACAGATACCATGTTCTAAAAAACTTTAATTCTGATTATTCTGTTCAAGTCGAAGAGTTGTTCCAAAAAATTGTTAACATGGTAACACAAAACAAAGAATGTTTCTCAGTTGAAGACAAAAAAGAAAAATTTCTCAGTTTTCTTCGGCCACCAAAACAACAGATACTTACAGAACAAGAATGGAAAAGGAGAGAACAGGAGCTGATAGAGCAAATGATGAAAGCTTTAGAAAAGGAACCAGAAGAACCAACAGAACCTCGTGTGAGAAAAGCATGGAGCAAAGATGATGATAACATTCCTGATAGTAAGTTTTATATAATAATGAATTAATTTTGACTTTACAGCCTTTATTTCATGCATTCTTGTCTTGAATAACACTTCTATCTCTGTTTCAGTGAGTGGAGATGTTGCTTCAGAATATGGGAGCATTTCAGAGAAACAGAGACGACGAGGACATGACCAAGTTGCTGAATGGCTGAATAACAAAGTGAGAGAGTCAGAGATCAGCTCTGGGATCAGCAGCATTTGTTCCTCAATCACTTATATGGAAAACTTTGATGAAAGTTCTGAAATTCATTAAAGTCAACATCCAAATTTAGGAAAAGAACAAAGAACTCACTTCTGTTAAGGGTTTGTAAAAATATATATCTATTTAAATAAGTACTTTTAAAACTAATCCCCAAAAAATGTAGGCATGTTGACAATTGATGGGTAATATCTCTAGAGCGGTAAAACATTTTCATATTTCTTTCTTATAAATGAACATCCTACATAGTTTTATATACATTGAATTTCAATATTTAAATAGTTTTCATCATCTTGATGTAGATCCCATTCTACTTTCTGTTAGATAATGGTCTGTTTTTTTTTTTGTCTTATTGAAGCAACTTTGAAGAGTAAATGTAATTATTGATTGAGATTTGAGAGAAAATACATATCAGTAATAACATCTGTTTATCTTTTATGATTGTTTATTACTCCTCATATATTGTGTATGCTGTACCTTCCTTTTGTGTTTTGTACCTTGCATTAGATTTTCATTTAACATTTATAAAGATATAATTAAAAAATAATCTTATCTGAATGAGTTGTACAAAGCTTGAAACATAAATTTTAAGAAGTTTATTTGACCTCAGTGTTTGATCATGAAAGGGTTAAATGTTTTTTTTATAGAGGAAAATGGAAAAAGGAGCTGATTCTGAAATTAGATTTAGAGCTATATTTTTTTAATTAAAGAATATTTCAGGTATGAGTTTTTAAGCTTTAATGTCCTGATTGTAAACCACTCCTTGTTAATATAATCAATGATAGCATCGGTATGAAAAGAACAGATGAGATATCAACAATCGTTTTTGGTGAAACTGAAATTATAATAGCTAATTGTTTGAGTGTCTGATCTTCGGGAACTGAGTTCCATTTGTTATGACAAACTTTGTTTTATTTCAATCAATAAAGCAAGCAATCAATTTTATCTATGAAGCACCCATTCATGTTGCAGCCATCTTCCTGGAAACACATAACAAAGGGTATTTCTGAACTGGGTTTGAACCATCCAGGGTCACACTCTGCAGGTGCAAATACCAGAGTTGTTACATAAACTGAAACTGGTGGGATCCTCCCTTTTCCTCCCCTCTTTGTATGAGGGCTGGTGGATATTAAAAGCGATGTACTTTCATCTTTTGTTCACTTCCCTGGACTAGCCAGGTGAGTCATTGCTCATATTCTTTGCTTAATTTCTTAATAAAATAATAATCAAAATGCATTTTGATTCGTTCTTGGTGGACTCAGAGTTTCACCTTAGGTAAGATTTATTTATTTCCTTAACACATTCATTATACATTTTTAACTAATACAGGTGCAGTAAACATTCTGAATATTATTTGCTAAACTGCAATAACAGCCAAAAGTAACTTCAGTGTATCAAAGCATTCACCATGTGTAGACCAGGGTTAAATTGATCTCATCTGTCTGAAACAGCCTCCCTGATGTTGTTTCAGTCTATCTTCAGATGGAAAATTTATACTTCCCATTTACTCTCAAGCTTTTCTCAGCCTTTTATGACTGAGGGCAATTTTTACTCCACAAAACCAAGCAAACTACTTTTGAACATTTCTTGAATATTCTGCCATTAGGATGGGATGAAAACAAAGCACAAGTCTTGCAGTTGCTCTTTGTAAGCATTGCAGGATCACTGCCCACAACGTTAGAATGAAGCTAACATGTTAAAACCTCTGCTAGCGGTTCATCTTAATTTTTCAACAAGGTCAGAAAATCACAATAAAATATTACTGGTTTTAGCTTGATGTGGTCAAGTTAAACCCAGTAATAAGAAACGACATGGAAAGTGGATGCTACTGTGCTGGATGTGAATAAAATGAGAGCTAGACTTTTCTCTTTGGCTCTTGGTGAAAGCAGACACTTTCCCCCCCTCTGCTCCTCCCCACACACTTTTCACCCTGCTGCTCTGCTCTGTCTTGTCTTGTGTTGTTTTCTTTTGAAGCCTCTTTGCATTTCCGCTGAATCTACGAATTATGGTTCTGGTCAGCTGA